TTTTTTTTTTTGGGGGTTTTTTTTTTTTTTTTTTTTTTGGTACAAGTGATTGAACTCGGGACCTTGCGCTTGCAAGGCAGGCGGTGGCACCACTGAGCTACATCCCTGGCCCTCTTGTAGGGATTTTAGACTTATCTTGTGTGTTTTAATAGCTTTTCTTTTGCTTCTGTCCTGCACTTTTTTTTCTTGGCTCTCCTTATTCTGCATCATAGCACACAATGGGAGACTAGATGATGGATCAAGATTTCTTACTTGTTTTGGTACTTAAAGAGAATTTGGAATTTGAATGTTCTCCAAACTTCTTGATGGTACTGTGTGTTTTATTTTTTGTTCTCCTTTTCTTTATGTCTTTGCATGTGGGGATGGAGGGTAGATGTTTTAGGCAATTTGAATTATTTTTAATGTCATTACCTTTAAAAGGGAGAAAGTGGCAAAATGAAACATATATCACAAGACAAAGTACACTTTCTAAATCACAGGTTTATTTCATTTTAGTTACTTAATTTTGGAGCTCTAGAGTGGCAAAATGCACACTGAGCAGGTAAAATACTGATACTTTGAGATTAATGGACCATTTAAACTCAGTAAAGACAGGAAAAGCATATTTTCTAAGAACAGTTTATAAAAGAACAATTAAGGCAATGTATTGCCACAGTATATTCTGTATATTTAGCAGCTAATTAATTTTTAAATTTCATGAGGCATTATTTTCTAGGCCCATTGAAGTTCTTTTAGGATTTAGAAACTAGATACACTTTCAATAATATTCTTTTTGGTATGATTCCATTATGCACCCCAGGGGACTGGAAGTCTATTTTACTCTTTTGTGAGATGACCATATTAGCATTGAAATTCAAGCTGGGCTCTCCAACTTTCCAGAAAGATAATTGTAGAGAAACAAGCCATAGACCAAGGCACCCATAAGATTCCTTGAGTCCATAGGTTCAAGACCAGCCTGGAAAATATAGCAAGAACTTGTCTCAAAAAAAAAAATTTTTTTAAAAGGAGGATACTTGTAGAACTATATTTTATTTTGATTGCTTATCATAATTAAAAGCCAAAAATAAAGCAGGTTAAAATGAACAGAAGAGATGAAACAAATCAAATGAAAAATTTGAAACTACCTAAAATTAATGTAGTGAAACATTTAATACCTCAACTTTTATGCTGATGATGTGAACTTGAATTTATGTACTTAGTAATTAATTTTGTTATACTTTGTCTCCTTGTAAAAACATGAATTTTATATTTCATAAAGAAGAATAGCTATTTTTGAATTCTTATTTTGTGCCAAGCACTAAATTTGACAATATTAAAAAGGATTACTTAGGGTTGGGCTTGTAGCTCAGTTGTAGAGTGCTTCCCTAGCATTACATGAGGCCCTGGATTGTATGCTGAGCAAACCTTCCTCCAATAGCAACAATGAAAGATTACTTAAAATGTATTTATTGGGCCAGGGATTTAGCTCAGTGGTTCCGCT